ACATTAATTTAACTTGAAATTTTTCTTTTTTAAATTTTAAGTTACCTCTTTAAATATAATTTCCAACTTTCTGATGCTATGTTGCTCTTGTAAAATATGCTGTTTACAAATTCTTCTGGGTCGTTTATTATCAAAGACTATGGAAAGTTCGTTCATAGCCGAGGATCGTGATACTCGGATACATTGGTGTCATGCGAACACGATTTAAACCTTTGAAAATACTGCTTAAAGCTCGGGGCAGTTCCAATTAACCTGCCACGTTGTACGCGATATTAGTTGGATGTTGACAGTAGCCTCGATAAAATCTCTCGACAGCTTATAACTAGTCCGCTTATTATTCATTACACTTTCAAGTGCGGTCAGCCTCACCAGTGGAAAAGCAGAATTGTCGCGTGAATATCTCGCGCGATGATGTTTGAGCTTGTTCCATAACGTATGTGCATAATTCCTGCCCTTATGCATACTTATTGCATTTTCTCGAATAAAGTAACATCAAAAAGAATATGATAAGATGAACAGTTAATAATAAGAACTCTCTTTTTGTATTTAAAAGGAATGGGTGATAAATTTTTGTAATAAGCATTAAATTCTGACACAAAATCTTTATTGTTAATAAATATACAAGAAACCATACAATTCACAGATTCTATTTGTAAAAACAAATGGAAATTTATTGATACAGAACAATGTATCCGAATTAAAATAAAGGAAAGATTTATTCCAATGTTAAATAGTTTTTCACTAAAATGCTTGTTAAAGTTTAGTTTTGGAATTATTTATGAAAAAGATCGACCGCGGCCGCGCAGCAGTGAAGCGCGAATTAGCCCCTATAAATCACCTGCTACGCGTTAAAGAGCCTCAGTCTGTCTTCGGACGTCAAAGAGAGAGGAGTGTGTTCTGTCATTGCCACCATAGCGCCATCTGTACAAAAGTGGCGTAAACTACTCGACAACTAACCGATCGACTTACCTGAAGGCAGGGACACTAGCGTTACCTATTGAAGAGCAGTGGAAACTACACTACTACTTATCGACTTCCACCTGATCTACCTGATCGACATACACAAACCCTTATTTTATTTTCTGTCTTCGTTTATTTTGCTATATTTATCTTCTTACAATTAGCATGTTGAATAAACTCATTACGAGGATGAACGAGTTGATTTCATTACTCCTGTATGCCTGCATCCTTTTACATCTCTACATCTCGTAGATCCCGGCAATCATTAGATCCCCGCATCTCTTGCATGTCGGTATCCCATACATCTCTGCCTTTCTCACATCACTTCATCTCTTTGATCCCGCTATGCTTTATATCGCTCTAACCCTTTATGCCTTATATTCCTCCATCCCTTACATCTTCGCTTTCTTTATATCACTGCTTTCTTTACATTACTGCTACCATTACATCCCAACATCCCTTACATACCTTCATCCCTTACATCCCTACATTCTTTTCATACCTATATTCTCTTCATCCCTCCATTCTTTTCATCCATACATTCCTTATATCGCTTCATCCCTTACATCCCTACATTCCTTTCATCCCTTCATCCCTTACATCCCTACATTCTTTTCATACCTATATTCTCTTCATCCCTCCATTCTTTTCATCCATACATTCCTTATATCGCTTCATCCCTTACATCCCTACATTCCTTTCATCCCTACATTCCTTTCATACCTACATTCTTTTCATCCATACATTCTTTCCATCCCTACATTCCTTACATCCCTTCATTCCTTATATCCCTACAATCCTTACATCCCAGTACCTCCCTGAAATTGAATTTAAATTTTTGCGGCTATAAGGCCTGCGATTTTATACAAATTTAGTTCCTTTTTCAAAAACCAGATGGCGCTGATTCGAGGTCGAGATTTTAGTTCACATTTTTGCCGCTAGAGGGCCAAAATCTCTGCTTAATTTAGTTCCTTTTTCGAAAACCAGATGGCGCTGGTTCGAGGTCGAGATTTTAGTTCACATTTTTGCCGCTAGAGGGCCAAAATCTCTGTTTGATTTAGTTCCTTTTTCGAAAACCAGAGGGCGCTGATTCGAGGTCGAGATTTTAGTTCACATTTTTGCCGCTAGAGGGCCAAAATCTTTGCTTGATTTAGTTCCTTTTTCGAAAACCAGATGGCGCTGATTGGAGGTCGAGATTTTAGTTCACATTTTTGCCGCTAGAGGGCCAAAATCTCTGCTTAATTTAGTTCCTTTTTCGAAAACCAGAGGGCGCTGATTCGACATCGAATCAGCGCCCTCTGGTGGCGAAAAAAGGAATCAACTTACCTTTACTCGAAGCAGTCTTTATAATATATTTATTGTAAGGGATGCAGGGATGTAAGAAATGTAGGGATGAAAAGAATGTAGGGATGAAAGGAATGTAGGGATGAAAGGAATGTAGGGATGAAAGGAATGTAGGGATGAAAGGAATGGAGGGGTGAAAGGAATGGAGGGATGAAAGGAATGGAGGGATGAAAGGAATGGAGGGATGAAAGGAATGGAGGGGTTAAAAGAATAGAGGGATGAAAGGAATGTAGGGATGAAAGGAATGGAGGGATTAAAAGAATGGAGGGATGAAAAGAATGTAGGAATGTAAGGGATTAAGCGATGTAAGGGATGAAGCGATGTAAGGAAGGTAGCGATGAAAACAATGTAGGGATGTAAGGGATGAAGCGATGTAAGGAATGTAGGAATGAAAACAATGTAGGGATGAAAAGGATGTCGGGATGAAAAGAATGCAGGGATGTAAGGGATGCAGAGATGTAACGGAACGAGGGATGTAAAGGAATTCTGTAGGGGTCCGGGGCTGGGGCCCCGGTCACCACTTACGTAGCCCGAGGAGTGCCGGCATCGGGTGTGGCCCCCGATGTCAGCGTAGTTTGACACATGGCGAAGGATCAAAGAACACCCCCTACCGCCCTAGTGCAGGCCACCGTGGTGGTTTTAGTGGGTAAAAATCCCACACTACCTCCAGCCCCTCCCCAGGGGGGCTGAAGGTGTCTTTCTGAAGATTTCCACCACGTTAAAAAAAAAAAAAAAAAAAAGGTATTTATGGGTTGTAGGAATGCTGGGATGGAAGGAATGCTGGGATGGAAGGGATGCAGGGATGTAAGGGATACTAAGATTGCCTTGGCCTATAATGAGGGATAAAATTATATAAATAACTAGAAAAAGTAAAATAAATGAGGTCCTCGATTGAAACCCTGAAGAGGAATATAATCATAAATGTTATTCCTCCTCGATGAGCTTATTTAATAAGCAAAAAAAAGTAAATGAAGTAAATTAAATAAACTCTGGAAAAAAATTATAGTGGTTGTGCCCTCTTCATACGGACCTGATATTATCCAGGGGTGCCAGGGACCCCGAAGCGCAAATGACTATGTCTACATACCAACATAATATCATCTGGGGTGTCAGGAACCCCGAAATGCCGGTGAGTATCTTTGCATACCAATATAATACCATCCGGGGCGCCAGGGACCCCAAAGCACCCGTGACTATTTGTGCGTACCGACCTAATATCATATTGGGTTATTAAGGACCCCGAACCGCCGGTAAGTATCTCTGTATACCACTATTATAGCATCCGGGGTGCCAGGGACCCCGAAGCACTAGGGACTCTCTTTGCACACCGACATGTCCTCCTGGGGTCTCAGGAACCCCGATGCACCACTGACACTGTTTGCATATCGCCATTATTCCATCCGGGGTGTCAGGGACCCCGAAGCACCGTTGACACTCTTTGCTTACCGACACTACTGCATTCGGGGTGTCTGAGACCCCGAGGTACCGGTGACACCGATGTTTCGCTACTCGGGGTGTCAGGGACCCCGAAGCAACTAGCGAAATATAAGAACGAAAAACGAACAAATCGTGAAACTCACTTGTTCGGAATAGTGATGGGTTTGACCGGATCTAGCGAAATATAAGAACGAAAAACGAACAAATTGTGAAACTCACTTGTTCGCAATAGTGATGGGTTTGACCGGATCTAGCGAAATATAAGAACGAAAAACGAACAAATCGTGAAACTCACTTGTTCGGAATAGTGATGGATTTGACCGGATCTAGCGAAATATACGAACGGAAAACGAACAAATCGTGAAACTCACTTGTTCGGAATAGTGATGGGTTTGACCGGATCTAGCGAAATATAAGACCTATAAACGAACAAATCGTGAATCTCACTTGTTCGAGATAGTGATAGTTACGATCGAATCTGTAGCGCATGTGCACTGCAATTATTTATTATAAAACAAATTTGTAAATAATTAAGAAATTATTCACTCACAAACAATGAAGATAATATATTTGTAAATCACAAACGATTTCCAATCAATTACAGTTATCAGTTATCACCATATCTGATATGAGAGTAGGTAATGCAGCATTATGGCATCCGGGGTGTCGAGGACCCCAAAGCACCAGTCATACTCTTTGCATACTAACATTACGGTATCCGGGGTGTCAGGGACCCCGATGCATCGGTGGCGCTCTCTGTATACCAACCTGATATCATCCTTGGGGTGTTAGGGACCCCGAAGCACCAGTGACGCTCTTTGCATACTGATATTATGGCATCGGGGTGTCAAGGACCCCGCGGAGTAGCTAATTTATAGAGGCTAATTCGCGCTTTACTGCTGCGCTGCCGCGGTCGATGTTTTTCATTAATAATTCAAAAATCTAACTTTAGCAAGCATTTTAATAAAAGAGAGAATTGTAAATAAATATCTAGGAAAAGTAGGTCTTCATCCATAAAGAAAGAAAAAACAGAAATAAATTGTTATTGGAAGTACTGAAGTTTATTATTTTTATTATTTTTGCACCTAAATATCTTGTACAATTTCTTTTAATTATTATTACTATTACGTCAAATTACAATTTTCAGATTACAATAATGTATTAACTAAATCATTACTACATCTATTAAAATTATTTTTATAGAGCCGCATCAATTTTTTTTCCACTAAAAACAAGGGATAGGCTAAAATACTTCAAAATTTCTTCATACATTAATATGTGCTGTATAGTTTACCTTTATTGTACTCTTTAACAGGTAATACATGAATTTCTCACAAAAAATATAAACATATTTAAATAAATTGATATTATACAGTGGTAACTTACATTTCTGGTTTATTTATATTAATTTGCATAACTTTCATTCATTTATTCATTGATTTCGTTATTTATTTAACGAATATATGTTTAATGCTCTATGTATATAAAATACGTAAAAATGTAGATATAAACTATGAAATAACATAATAACAGTTGAAATATACAGTGCATAATTTACAAAAACAAAATGACTTGTTGCATGTCAATATATTATTATATTGAATAAATATTGAAGAAACTACGATTGCGCGTGTGATTTAATAAAATATATTACAACGTAGTGTTTTCTTATTTATAATTACAATAAATAATTTGAATATTTAATTCGAAAATCACTTTTAGCATTAAAATAGCAATAACAAAGTATTAATTGTTGGAAATAATTAATAGCACTTTAAATTGTACACTTTAACATATCAACACCTTCCATTAAAAATTTCTTAAAGCCCTTATAATTGAAATGAAAGCCCAATTCATTAATACAATAGAAAATGTTTCAGATATAATATTAATAAAATATCTAAATGAATAAATCTATTTTATAAAGGCATTAATTTTATACAAGTTTACATACAGAACTTAAAATTTTGTACACTCTTGGAACTAAACCAAAGCGTTACCTTTATAATCGTATTTATATAAAAAAATAAAACACGTATAGTTTGTTTAAATTATACCACAGTATTGCAACAAAGCTAGTTTAATATTTGTTGAACAGTAAAGAACAATATATGTAGAATTAAGCCATTAATTACTATGTTAAGACATGCAAGTATCTCTGATTATAAAGTTCAGTTGTCAATGCGCCTATAATTACTGTTGCATTATGTAAAGAATTAGCAGGATCTCTGATTAATCTAATAGAACGTTCTATATCACCTTTAAATTCCAAATATTGTTTATTTAGTACAAGTCCTTCTAGAGTTTGCATTGCTTTAATGGCTTCTGAGCTAGGCCGAATTTCTACGGCATCGAGGTCACTTGTTCCTGTAGATGCTACACCAGGTGCATAAGGTGTGAATCTCACTAATTGTTCTTCCGATTTTGATTCAGGTAATTGGGCCAAACAATATACTGCTACTGCCCGGCTTAAAAATCTACATCTAAATAAACAGCAAATACAAATTTTAACACGTTGTAAATAATTTTTTAAGAGAATTTTAATTTTGAAGTAGAATTAGTAGTAAATGTAATTACAAATAATTTAAAAACTTACCTAATCGAAAGTGGAGAAGCTTTCCTAAGACCAATTGCTCCTAATATTCCCCATCCTTGTCCTCCATCATCTGCTATAGTTAATAAAGTGTGTGCTAAACCTTTGAGAGCCCTGGCAGCAATTGTTGTATTTTCACTGTACTGACATTGTCTGTGTGCTAATTCACACGTTTTAGCCCATAAAAGAGGTAATTTTTCTTCGTTTATATCCCTAAGTAAATAAATTAATTGAATGTAAAACAATCAATATACTAGTTGCACTCATACCCACATATTAGTATAAAAATACTAACGTTGCCTTAATAGTAGCAATCCAGTCAATTAAATTAATAAGAAGCATTCCTTCCTCCCTAATATCTCTACATAACGGAAGTCGCTTAAGTAAAACAGAATACAAAGCAAGAAGTCTTCCTTCGGAAATCAATAACGATTCCAATGGTGGTTGTCTAGGTACTACTGATTGTAAAATTGTTAAGACTGAAGCCCATGTTGGTGTAACATCCTCGAATGCTAAAATACAAATGAATATTTTGTAAAAGTTCTCAAACTTCGAGAAGAAAATTACGAAATATGAGAAAACACGGACGCGAAATGTAAAAAAATTCATACCATTAAATTTAAAATATGCTTCTAAAGCAGCCTCCATTAATTCTCCAAGTATAGATGATGAAGTAACTGTTGTCGTCATGACTTTAAGTATACCTATAAGAATTGGATTAGTGGCTCTCCTTTCTGCAAGCCATGTTGTCCAGCTAGTACGGAGATTTTCCATAAGTAACCCACTTTGATTCATAGTATAAAGCAATTCGGTTACTAATAAACTTGCTTCTGCAATTTGTTGTGATTCTGAAACAGCTAAATAATTATTTTTCTATTAGTACTTCTATAACATAATATCACTTAATATAAACATTCTGTACTTACTATTCAGAATAATAAACTCCATATCGTTTAACATTTCTAACAGTACATTGGTAAATGCTTTTGGATATGTAGATATCAATGATTTATGCCGAGTCGAACAGGTGATCAACAGTTTAACCGAAGAACGAATGTATATTTGTCTCTTTTTTAATGTAGTAGGATGAAAATGAGTTATAGCAGGGTCATAGCCTGCTGCAATCTTTAATAAACTATTAGATAAAATTTATTAGCAAGCATTTAATTTAAGGTAACTATAAAATCAAACTAATATAATTATACATACTTGTATACAGCAGTATCTATAGCATTATTTTGGCCATCATCAATAGAAAGAACAACTCTTGGATCACAGCTCATAACATACCAATTAATTACGTGATCATATGCTGTTGCATCTAGTAGATGCCAAGAAAATTTGTCAGCCTCATTGACCAAATCAAGTGCTTTGTCATTCTAAAATATAATACAATCCCAAATTTATATTAATTAAGTTAATTGTTTCAATATAGTATTTTTATATTTTGCTAAACCTTTCTAAATGGTTCGTATTTAATTTTTCAATTACCTGTTTAACATTTGGTTCGTTGGATAACTTCACCAATAAATTTAATAAACACACATGCATTCTTGCTGCAACCGATAATGACTGTGTTGCTAATAGATCATTCATCCAAGCTGTCCAATTCACGCATGTAAATATACTTCCAAGAAATAAGTGACTATCAGGTAAGTATTGATCAACCACTTTTACCATGAATTCAATATCATTGAGTGTAGGGTAAAATCGATCCCATGGTAATGTCAAAAAATTGCCATGAATGACATTTAAAATATGATTTTTAACTGATGCGTGCGCAAAATTAGTCACATAAAATTGCCAGATGAAGCAAAGAACTTTATTGGATGTTGGCAATGTATCAAGAACAAAACGGATGCATTCGACAAACATTGCTACAATTTTGTTTGCAAATAAACCATCCGTAATAATCCATGGTAACAAAACGGATCTATCATCGGTAAGCTGTTGAATCCATGCAGCAGTTGGTTCTTTCAAATTCCGAGTCCAATATGGTGTAACCCATGGCGAATACATTTCATTTAAGACAGGCCATATTTTTTCGCATACTTCAAACAATAAAATTATAGATATAATATTTACTATAAAAATGAGACAGAATATTATATTTAAAAATCTTACGTTGATCTCCTAAAGAACCTCTATCAAATTGAAGGGTAAGCGCAACAAGAGCATGACCCACCATGCCAAGAAATATGCTTAATGGTTCAATGTAAACTCTATATTTTGGATATAATCCATAAAGACCGTACTGTAAACGTTCTTGCGTAAAATGTTTACTTAATAATATGGCTGTGTCATGTATCTGTAATAAAACATACAATATATGAATTTGTTATACCTACGTTAAAAAATAATTATTATTTCATATGTTGAATAACGTACTTCTTGTAAAGAAAGAAGCCTTTGCTCAGTTGCATAGTGACGAATATCATCTCTAATTTTAGATAAATGAACTGAAAATGTTTTTGATTTGCCGCTAAGAACTCTTAATAAATCTTGCCAAACATCTAGTGACAAGTTTTGACTTTCACTACTTTTTAGTACAGCATTTAAAACTTCACCATAGTGTTCGGGAAATTTATGTAACAAAATAAGTTGTAAATGCTTTCTAAACAACTGTAAGAAAAAATATTGTTTTAAAACATTATAATCCATTCACTGTTTACCTGTTATATAAATACCTCGTGTAATATCAATTTTTCCTCTTGTGGAGTGAAACCAATATTGCAAAGAGCTCTAGATACTAAGTCTATAAATGTTGATCGTTCACTCAATCTCGGACGCTTATAATTTAACCAAGATCCTACGTCAAACTAAAATAAAAATATATACATCACAAGCAATAAATAATATATAAATGATACCAAGAAAATTTATGCATGCATCAACGTACTTTCGATAACAATACGAAACAAAGATCAACATTCATGCCTGTAGATAATTCAACAACGGTTTGATACATCTGTAACAATGCCGAAGCACCACCAGCAACAGGTGTAAAATAAGGTCCGAGTAAACCACCCAGATTTTGTTTTTGTATTATAGTGTTTAACAACTGTGGAGCCTGACTTTCCTCTCCATTAATAAACGACTGTTAAAATATTTGTATTACAATGTATTCAATAAAATTGTTGATATGCAACTCAATTATACCTACTTGCCCTAATTTTTCTAAACAAGTGGTAATAAGTTGTTTCGTTGGTGGACAGAACGATGCTTCCTCTGTATAACAATCTATGAGATAATAAAATAATTTAATTCCACTTTCCTGAAGTTTGTGTAGTACCGTTGTATTTTCGTTCGTGCGACTTATACTTATTTCATGTTCTAACATTCTGTAATAAAATTCATATTTACATTAATATGTTTTAATAAACTTTGTAAAGAACATTATATACATACGTGACTAAGTGATCTATAGAAACACATCCTTGAGTTACTTTACTAGGTGGTGGCTGACTAGCCTTTATCAATAAATTTTCATACTCTGCTCTATTTTGTGTTATCATGTGATTAACACTATCACTAATATGAGATTCCGGTGCCTAAATATTAAAACATTATATGAATAAATTAAATGACCCATATATAAAGTAAGAAAGAACTATTATTAATTTCTAATTACCTTAATTCTAATTACTGCTGGACCAGCACAATGAACAGTAACTGGTGTTCCTGATCTAACTTGTTTTTGATTTGGACTTACTGGATCACACAGTGCATGCAGTGTTACCTGGTTCTCGTGTTCTTTATAAAGCATGGGTATTAATTCCAAGAAACTGGAATCTACTGCTGTGTGCTCCGAAACCAATAAATTATACGTTTGAGCATAATCTAATATTACTTTAAAATATGGCTTAATAAAGTTAACAACAGAAGTAGAATTATATAAATTCTCCTTAAGTAAGCAATTAAACTCCATTTGATTTCGACTTAAAAGTGGTGGTGGAACCGGATGTTCATATGTAGTTAATCTTTTAAAAATTCTCTGTAATGGTTCAACCATTTTAAGTAACATTGTTGGTGCATCTGTTTCTCTTGGAAATTGATTTTCTTGGTCTCTACAACACATATACTCCCATTCTTTAACTGCCATTATTTGATTTTGTTGAATTGTCCAATAATCAATATATTCTAACCATGGAGCCTATTCAAATAAATATAAAAGACAATACAAAAATTTATATTTATAACAAGTAAATTAAGATATTTATATCTTACCCAATCGTCTTGAATAAGTTGTATTAATTTTTGTGACATATATTGTGGGGGTAATGCAGGTAAATAAAGGCTTGGTTCCTGTAATCTCGGTTCCTCAAGCCATAAACTCAAGGTTTTATAAAATCTGCAAAAATATTTTTAAAATATTGATTTTGACAAGTTTGTTTGTCTACCGTGTTTAAATATTACACACTTCGCTGCATTAAAATAAAATATTCGTCTCTCATCGGTAATTGGCTTCCCATTATCCAAATCTGTCTCGCCTTTTAATTGGAAGTACATAGTCGTATCGTACAATCGCTTTTTCAATTTTTTTAAATAACTCAAATTAATCATGCCCTCAAAGAATTTTTCACCAATTCCACAATAATCAATAACTCTAGAAGAGAAGGCTACATTGTAATTTGTACACGTAAAATGTTCGAAACTGAAATTTATTTGTTTCATTTAAAACCAACCCTGGCATTGTTGGAACTCTAGCAAGAAATAAAGCAAAGAAATTTTGCCAAAACAAAGGCAAAATAGGGTGATCCATAGGTGTATCTAGAGCTTGTTGAGACCAACGGTATATGAATAATCCATTGGCTCCAAATGGTTGCATTTTTACTGTAACACAAGCTTTCTGAAATAAATATTAAATACAAATAAAAGCATGTAACAGGTATCATATGTTAAAATATATTCATTTTGTAACATGATATACATACTTTAACAGCAGTATCCAGTGAAATTTTAGGCTGCATTGATAACTCTCTTAGAATTTCACGCCATAATCCAGTTTTAATTTCTCTGTTATATTGTTCAGTTACCAATATTTGATAAGCAACCCAAATTGATTGAGTAGATCCTTCTAGGGCACTAGTTGAATTGGATGAACCAGTTACCCAATTAAAAAATGATCCAAATGATGCTATTACATTTCGATTAGATGTATTCTGAAAATAATTCATTAACTTATAAATATTATAATTTCAGGCTTAGGAACATACTTTAATATGAATAGATAATTTATGATTTAAATTTATATGTAAGTAGGAGTATTTAAAAATAACTATTTCCTACTAAACACTGCTATAAAATATTGTAAATAAACGTATTCTAAACGAGGGGGAAAAAATCATACCTCATCATTTTCCTGTATGGTAAGCTAGTAAAATAAATATATTCTATCAGTGGATTCAAAATAAATTTACTAAAATGAACTATTTTAATAAGATATATATTAAAATGAATAATAATAACAGGATTAAAACATAAGTAATAATGTAGATTTAAAATATTCTTACGGAAAGAAGGCGATGAAACACATTTTCCACTGTTGATTTTACATCTACATAAAAGAATGTAGCACTAATGACCGTGTCCATCAAATACATTATACTTTGATCTTTATTCCAATCTGGTATCAATACAAGTACATTTAACCATAAATATACAAAATGCTTTGGAGTTTGTAAATGATACCTGTAAAGCAATAATTTAATATTCGATAATGTATTCTTCAAAAAAATAATTAATTACCTTTTGAAATTATATAAATGTGAATGTATCATATTCGAAAATTGTTTCAATATCGTTCCAGGGAATTCAGGAGCTATAAAACTCTTAGCCATTTTCATGTAGGATCGATCAGCCATAATTAGAGACATAATCAAACTAATAAATTTGTCATTTTTGAGTAATGAATCAACGCACTCCAAAAATAATGGTATAATATGATGCAAACATATAAGTATTTGTTCATATTTACAATAATATTGTAATATTTGTAACTGGCTGAAACCTTTTGAACATATCAATGGTACAGAGTGGCCCCATAATGTCATAACTGTTGCTACATAACATGCAATTGGTTGTTTCTCCCTTATGCCAATGGTTAAAATTTCTAAATATGAATCAGAATCCATATCAGGTACATTAGAAAATGCTTCAGCAGGATTTAAAAGAGCATTGTGACAAAGCGCTTCTGTTTGGTCAAGTTGATGTAATCTAAGTCTTGAAATCACATCCCATGCCCACAATGAAAATGGATGCTGAGCATTCTGAGGCCTAATCATCGATGAAACCTATACATTATAATTTAACATAAATAAAAATTATAAATTTATTTGATTAAATATGCATTTACATGATATTTGTAAATCGTACCTGTTTAACGCCTTCTTGTAATAAAGATGCTTGAGTGGAAGTATCAGGTACATATTTCATCGTTAACTCAACAATCAATAACGCTATGCGTCTATGTAAATTAATAGGAAGATATAAAGTACCATTCCTGTAACAAAAAAAATTATTATATCTTCATTGCAGTATACCTATTCATCTAACGGTAAAAAGTATGTTCTTACTCATCAAATCCCCAATTTAAATGAGTAAGAATTACACGAGCTAATTGATTTTCAGTCGATGTTAATGGATGTTGATGCAACCAAACAGAAAGAATTTTTATATCCTCCTCTTGTGGAACCCATTTATCTATCTTCAATTCGGTAAATAAATATAAACTTAGCTGAAAATAACAAACGTAAGAATAATTAATTCAAACATGAATTATTCATAAAGAAATATAATAACGTTTTTATTTATACCTTTCCAGCTAACACAAAGTTATCTCTTAACTTCTGTAAAATATCTGATAAAAGTGAAGGATATTTGTTTGTTAAATTTGATAAAAGAAACCGAGCATCCTTTGAGCAAGAATGTTGTGTCTTTTTACTGAGAAATCCGATCTGTAAATAACAGCTATTAATCATTACCCACATGTTTCAAACAATATATAATAAATACCCAATATATACTTGAAATAAATCTATAGTCGTTGTCCTTATGAAATGGTAATCTTTCTCAACTCTTGCCATAGCCATATTGGTAAAAGTTGTTAAAAGGAAATATGATTCATCTCCTGGCATGGTACTTAACTTCTCTTCGAATTGTTGACGAAGTTCAGGATTGTTTAATTCATTTTCCCAATCTATAATATCACCAATATATTTAATTGTATGTTACCCAATATCCATTTATTCTTAAATATTTATAGAATTCCTATTGTATAATTGTACATACTGCGTATACATGTATTAGAATTGTACATATCCGTTTGCGTACAATCAGTGTGTAAAATATAAAATATCTGCCACAAAGTGTTGGACGATATTAAATGATATGGAACAGTAGCTAAGTATTGCCATGCGCCTAAGCGGCGCGAAGAAAATATACACAGAATTGCTCTTAGAAAAAAGCAATCGAATTCAAGTTGAAGTTTTAACAATACTGATGCATCAGTAATCTGTAAACCATAATTAAATAATAATTTTTGTCGTTACATGAAGATACTATGAAATATTGTGAGACCATGGTAACTCTACCTGGCTTCTATCAAATTCTTCCCACTGATCACTAGTATATTGCACAATATCTCTGATTAATGCACTTAATCGTTTAGTTAATTGTCTATATCGTGGAGAATCATATGTTTTTAGTCCTTGTTTCAAAAGTTTAACAACAGTTGTAAAAAATGCGAATAGTCGCAGTAAATGATGGTGTGTAATATAGCGTTTGTCCTGGTGATAACCATCATTCTGACATTGAATGTACAACACATGTTCAAACATTTTATCAAAAGGAATTTGACGAATCAAAGAAATAAGGTCACTTTCATATAAGTTTACACCAGCGTTAGCGATATCCTCATCTTCTTCGCCTTCTTCATCTAATATAACCCAAACTGTATCACTGAGACTACACGATGCATCTTGCAACGATAGTTGTACCTAATAACATACACTATGCTATTTATATAAAGATCATTTGCTATATTATAATTATTTAAATACCTGTTCAATAAATTTTTCCCTTTCTTTAATCGGTAATAAAATAACAGCTAGGGTAGCTATTACATGATCCAGATATGGATCATTCAATGGTGATATGCTTAGTTTATTAAACTGCTGTGGTACTGGAGGTTGAATATAACTAGATGCCCAATTCATTACTCCACCAGGGCATCTTAAAATATGATTCAGTAGAAATAGATGATCCTGCCAGGTTGCTACCCTTAATAAAATAGCTACTAGCTTCGTAAGCCAATCTCTAGTTTCTGTTACAAATCTCCCGTCTTTTAATAATTTTCTTTGAAAATTAAATAATATTGTGATGCACGTTCTAATTTCTAACAATTGTGGAACAGTTTGCGACGATGTATGCATTGATAACAGATTTACAGGGGCATTTTGAGGAAGATTTACGAATTCCTTACAAGAAGTGCACACTCGTTGAATATAATGTTCAATTTGTAATTTTAATGTTTCTGCTTCATAACAATATAATGCCTGGGTATTGTGCAACATTTCCTTTATTGCTGATAAATTTCGAGACAGATTTACTAATGCTCGACTGTTAAAACGTGCTATTGAATATTCGTGAGTAGCGACAACTGGATTTCCATCCTGACATTCCCCTGATTCGGTAATATAAGCCTTGTCTAATTGCCATAATTGCTTTTGTATTTCTCTACAACTTTTTTTCAGTGCTTCCAGTTCGTGCGAGTTAATAATTAAATGGTTTCTGGCACGAAGATAATTCATTAGAAGCTCGTATAATTTATGCTGCTGTTTAACTGTACTACTGATAAGTTGAGTTTCTGTGAATTCTGAAATAAACATATCAATAGATGCTAATTCATCGTTTTTATATAATGATTCCAACTGGATGTCTGTAAATGGTATAACTTCTTTAAAAGTAGCATGTATATCCTCTTTATTCATAACAAAATTTAATTTTGTTTTTGTGGTTTGTCTTTCATGTGTCGCATTCTTCAATTCTGAGGAACTCAAACTAGACTGACATTGACTAGATACTGTACTTTCATTTTTGAGAGAATCAGATGGAGGATCATCTAATTCTACAGTAGAAATTGATGTTTTAATATTCTCTATCTCTTCTTCCATAGTGTTTTTCAGTGGCATATTCTTTGAAATACTTTCAATTCCACCATCAGCTTCATCCTAGAATTGAATTTGTCATGTTACAACACTAATAAAACCTCAACTACAAAGAAGTTCAAATATTAAAATTACTTACTACATTATTTGTATCTTCTGTACTACATTTTGCATCTATTACAGTTGTCTGAGCAGACTGTTGCTCGTACTCTTCAGTATCAATTGCTGCAGAATGTAATTCACTTTCCATGTTTTCAATACATTCTCCTTTAGGGTAAGTTATAGAGGATTCGCTGGAAAAACATTTGTGCTTTTCCACCATTGGAACCTCTGGTATATGCTGTTTTACAGGAAACTTTCTAGTCTTATCTTTTTCTTTTTTCTGGAAAAATATTTTATTATTAGGCAATTTTAATATATGATATTAAGTATTAAAAAGAAGAAATAATAACATCAAACGTACCATAACCTATGATACGTTTTCAAAACAAACTAAATGTCAAATTACTAGTGAATGCCATAAGTGTATTCTTTACTCAAATATTTTGAATTTAATGTTTCTATAAATATATTTAAAAAACATGCTTCTCCTATGTATAAGGAGCTTAGAACTTAAATTATAATGAAATAACTTTATAAGTAAAAGAACTACAAAAAATAAAGTTCTACCTGTCGTTTTAACATCTCCATTGTTTACACATATAATTTTATATTATACTCTTCAGATACATCGAATTTTTGCTCAGTCAATGAATTATAAATTGTTTATTCCACAATGAATTTCAATAACGTTATTTACTTGATGCGTAACGTTACAGTTTAGTATTTATTATTGATTCTTATATAATCTATTACGTTTGAAAACATATTGAAATTCAACAGTAATTTACTTTTATACGACACTCAACATTAGTATTGTTGAATCATTAATTTTAACATTTTACATACTAAATTCGTATGGAAAATTTCACACAATAGCTGTCAAGAAAATGACATATTTTCAATTCCTAGTTTATCTACAGAGACCCCTGTACAAATAGAATAAAATGTTATCATCCAATGATAAAAAGTACGACTACAGGCAGGAAGTAATAAAATAAGACAACAGTAGGTAAAGTATCGAGTACAGTTAACTTCCCCCGGGAAAATAAAATTACAGAAAAACTAGAAATTCTCAAAACCGGCTAAATTTCCGAAAACCTTTAAATCGAATTTAGCTGAAATTTTGTAAAAAGCTTTATTTTATACGAAAACAATATTTGCGAGAAAAATTTTTGACGATTTAAAGGCATAGTCTTTCACTAATTTATATTTAGGAATCAAATTAGGGACATTGTGAGATTGTGTTTTCTTCATAATTGATATTTATTATTGTTTTCAAACATTTTCCCAGGCAAGTGTATAACGGAAAATTAATTTTTACGAATATAACAAACTAGAACATTGTGTAAATACTGTTACATTAAAACTTGTTATTCAAATAAATCATCAATGTACTCCACTGTACTCTTGCCGGAAATTTGGGCGTCGCACGTCGTAACAATTTATTGATGAAACAAGTCAATTTGATTACATTGGAAATGTGTTAAATATTACTTATAAAAACCAAAATGAAGGTGATTCATTTGTTTTATCATCCCTTGTGGGGATCGAACCCACGACCTTTGGATTAGAAGTCCAACGCGCTATCCTCTGCGCCAAAGGGACCGTGCAGCATGATGATTTCCTGACATTATACAAAATTATATTATAAAAAAATTATTGTTTCTGGTCACAATCGATGATAAACTGCAACATTAAAAATTGCCAATATACTATCTTGAATATAAAATCGAGATCAATTTATTCTTCAATTTTCATATACGAACTTACAATTGCAGCTCTTAGCTCAATATCGTTTTCCTTGAAATTTCAAAAGTTTTTAAATCTCTACAATCTACAGGAAACGATATCGATTACCAGGTCATACCACGAGGAGGTGGCTATAAGTAGTGACCCTCCCAAATCGCCAAATCCCAACCACCCTCGCATTATAAAATACACCTCGTCCGTCAAGCTATTGTCAACTTGAGAGACGCGTTTTGGCTCTAATTAAATTAAATGTTGCCTAAATGATACACATAGATTCTGATAAAAATGTTAAATATTTCTTCAAATTGTACTAAAAAGCATCAAAATCAATATATACCATTTGGATAATATTTCTTAATAATAAGTAATGAGAGATAAGAATGGCAAATTGTTTGTCATATTATGGTGTAAATTAACAAATAAAACACTGAAAAACAATCTACACGAAAATAGATAGAAATAAAACTAGTTCCTGGGTCGTTTTCGGCTATTAGTCATGCATAATGGAGAAATTACATGTAAAAGATACGACTCACCAATCGTCGACTTAGACCACTGAACGTACGTGCATCACGGGAGGGCGATGGAGGAGATTTCCTCCTGACCTTTTCCTTTGATACTTCTTTCTTATCGTCCATTGTGTTGTTAATATTAAATGTCTTTTCGATTGTTAAAGAGTCGTCTTCACTCATCAAAGCACCCATCTGAGAAACAAAATGGCAACGATGAACGAATGTTCCCATTGATCCGTATTTTTGATACAGTTATAAAACATTATTTTTTATAATAAATTAATAAAATAACAATTATTTTACTAATCTTCAAATAAAATTTGATATAATACCTAACTCTGCGTTCAATCACATTAGCGAATCCATTGAAATACAAATGGCTATGTGTAGAAACACCTGAAAAATCATCTGATTAAATGTATAAATAAAATGTATAATTGTGCAATATAGAAAAACACTAGAAACATACAATACATGAACAGGAATTAGTTATTAATTTTGATAGTACACGACATTGCCAGTGAGAATCCCGCGACGGTCTTAGCGAGACTGACTAAACAACCTGAGACTGACTTTGACCTGCAAGTTCAAACGATAATAACAAGACAGTTATGTGTTAAATTAAACACAACGATCGCTTTCACCTCGATCCGAAATATTTATATAAAATGATTCATAAATGATTAATAAAATATTTATGAACAAATTGCATTTGCTTTGAATGTCCAACATTCATTAACGATACATACGTATATTCAATTACAATCAGGTATTTAATGACGTCCAATTTCGTGAATAAGTTATTCACGTAATTTCATTGTCTTTAAAAGAATTTATAAATTACAACAAAAATTACTTTCTCTGCCAGTTTGTTGCTTTTTAATTTAGTTCTTAAGTGATTAAAATACTTTGTCATTTTGTAAGTAGTTTTTTCATACAAATTAAGAAGTTAAAATACTTGCATCGATAAATAATTTATTAAGAACTGGACAGACGTAATACAAAATGAAATTGGAAATCAATTACAAACAAAAGAGCTCATCATCAAGCAACATTTACTGGAATTGAGATGAATTTCCGCTTTGTCTGCGTTGCGACGTTAATCCCAATTGTTTCATATTTGCGTGAAAATTACCTATCAGGATAATTCGCTGCTGGGGTGATATCAATGGTAGCCGTATCATCAACCAATCACAGACTAGCTAGAAATCAATGTAATTGTGGAAGAACCAATGGAAATTCATTGGATAAACCGCATGCGCGTATCTGACACCGTATCAAGCTATCATTAATGTTCTTTACCTGCATTCTATTGTGGGTGTTACGATTATTACAAATCCAATAATTTTGTTTAATTGTGATATAATAATAAAGATAAATAAGCTTGTATAATATTAAAATTTTCAAACATCTTTTTACTCATAATATAAGTAATATTATAAGTAATAAGTAGCGTATAAATAATAATTGCACTTCCTTAAATTTAAATTAGGATCAAGATTTCAATGCTATAGGATAGAAAAGAATGAATATCAATGAAAAGGAAATACGTACATAATTCGCGATAAGAATCAACCCTCTGAGGGTTGAACATTTCAATTGATGGACGAGAAAGGAATTCTCTACCGCGGATTGTTCAATGTGTAGTTAATCGTAAATACGAAAGATATTGCGAGATTAATATCTCCTCACGAATTTTAGTCATAAATTGCTTCTTTTTCTATAACATTTTCTAACATTATTTTCTTTTGAACGCTGGTGCAAGATAATGATTTTTATAATTACGTAAAATCTATCAAAATCTCTTTATAATTAATTACACATGGCCACTGCAAATTGAAATTGATATAATAGTAAAGAATTATTTTCTGAAAAATTATTTTTTTAACAAAATTATCAATTTATATTCCTAATGAAAACAACATAAAATCCCCGATATTAAAAGCTATTTTTTAAATATATTTATAATGAAATAAGTTGGAAAAGCTTATCAGTTATATGCACGAATTGTCCGTTCCGATTTCACGGTGTAATTCTAAATAATAATCAGTTTTGATTCAAGTGTTTCTCTTTCACAGACCATAAACGTCTGCAGGTGCTCTTTCGCAGAGGGGCGTTACAACGATGACAACGAAATTATTTGATACCGAAGAGATTGGGGGTGGTGGTATACCGCTGATAGTGGGGAACGTCCATCGGGGGTAGGGAGGTACAACCACCGGAACATCCCTTCTATTTTCATACTAACCATGAAGCAAGAGAATGGACGTTGCAAACAGATCTCAGATAACTGTGCTACTTTCTACCGTGTCATTTCATTTCACATATTTAAAGTATTACAAATCTTTTAAAGTGTTTCAAAAACCTACAGTAAATTAATTTCGTGAATTGAGTATTTCAAAAATCATTTTTATGCATACAAATTTATGAGCTGTAAATAAATAAATAAAAAAGATTGATATGTTACACGTAAAATAAGTGTTGAAAGTGATCAAAATGTTCTGTTATTATAAATCTTGATCCTTATGGAATAAAAAAAAAATTCTGTTTCGTGATGATAAATTTAATTTTAATTCAGTTTAAATAAATATTTGAAAAATCATCTTCAAGCTTGTGACTGTTTTATTTTTATACCTGAACTTTGTATTAGTGACACTTGATTGCGACTAAATGTCCTCGAAAGGAGATGGACCGTCATCTCCGCGACAATTTTTTGCCCGAATTTATGGGCACCTTGAGCAGAAGAACGTCGATGATAATAAAAATGATGAAGGATCTAAATCAAATTCGAGTACTGATTTATCTACTGATATTGTTTTGTGCGATAGAAACGCGTCCGAAATGGATGTTTCGTGTCATTCTCCGGATAACAACAATACACAGGTAAAATTTGTATTTCATTTTTATATAGAATGTTAATTTAACAATTTTGATTTTAATTCTACAGTCTAAATTTTCGATTTGTCATTGTTACTGGTTAACCCTTGAAGCTATGATTCGTTTGAATTAATATTTCAACTTCTTATATTTTTTTTAGAAGTCTTTCTATATTAATAGTATCTTTAATAAGTTGAAAAATAATTTAGTATTTATTGCATCAATGTATTGCATAGGTATCGCGTATAAAAGAAGTGTTCTCGGAAAGAAATGAAGAGCAAAGCATCAATAAAAAGAATCAGATAAGAAACGAGAAAGAAGAAAACTCGAGTTTCTTTAATTTAAAATTACCACTTATACACGAAATTCTTCCAAAAACTATTAATCTTCCAAGTGATCCATTACGTTTGACGCATATAACATATCCAATTACACTATCTTCACATTTTCATAATTTATCATACCTTCCGTCTACGGAACATCATCTGCAAGGATTCTCTGCCTTTCGTAAGTAGTATAGCCATTTTTATTGTTATTTATAATTTAAATAAAAAGTACTATGAGTAGTAGTTTATGATTGATGTGTCATTAGTCCTATTTAGCAATACTTTTATGTCATCAAATCATGTCAGATTTTTTATGAATATTTTAAAAATTTTGGCTACTGTTTTTAAATGATCCTATTTAATTTTATGGATATCAATTGAAAGAGCTTGATTAATGATTTGGCAAAAATGATTGTTGAAATTATCCATAGAAGTAATAGAGTGATACCAATAATTAGTTCTCGCTTCACGTCGAAACACATTCTCCTTTCTTTACAATACGTATTATTGAAATAAATATACGTGGCATAACGCGACACAACAAGCATACGCCCACGTTTAAAGGGATTTATCTCGCTTCGCCACTTCGTACCGATGCTGAGATGAGATTACTAAACGCAGTTGGCCGAATTTCAATGTGGAATATACTTGTTATATTTCCTCAAAACCCAACGTCACAAGCCTGCCCCGTAAGCTGTTGTTATGACAACACGAACAAAGGATACCGGTTTGTTTGATGGAAATGTTACAAATACGAACAGACAACTTTCATTGTTAACGTTATAAATCGTATGCTACTTTTACACTCAATAAATCTTTTTTAAATTGATAATCACAAAGTAAATATTTTAGTTATTGTTAACTAAAATTGGCAAGAAGAATCATCATGAGTATACTTTAACATAATAGTGCAAATTTTTTAGACTCTCCCTGTCGCCCTCAGGGTTCTGAAATCTAGAAGCTCAAGTTGCAGCCAAGAGTGCATTAAAAACAAATTGTTTTTATTCAAATAAAATACACGATTTATTTCTGTTGAACAGTAGCTCGGAAAAGAAGGAAAGAAGGACGACCACGAAGGCAAAGAACAACTTTCAGCGGTGAACAGACATTAAGACTGGAAGTTGAGTATCGTAGAGGGGAATATATTTCCAGAGGACGAAGATTTGAATTGGCTACGTCCCTACAACTTACGGAAACGCAAATTAAAATTTGGTTTCAGAATCGACGTGCGAAGGACAAAAGAATTGAAAAGGCACAACTTGATCAGTATTATCGGTAATTATCAGAAAATATGTAAGGATACTCGAATTAATATTAATATTATCGAAGTCATTAGCTCCCTCATCCCTGTGGAAAAGAACATATGATCCAGTTAAGACTATTACAAATGGGTCGGAAAATCCATCGGGTACAAGATATATATTTATTCGGTATTTATTCTCAGCTTGTCTTTGGCCCTATAGAACCCCTAATAGAGTTGGAAAGCTGAATAACACTGAGCTTTCAATAGAGAACAGAGATTCATGGGAAAAAGGATCGAGGAAACAAGCTGACTCTAATTCGATTGAAGCGATTTTCTAACGCGATATTCCGCTAAATAGCGTCGAGTAGGATTGTGATCACATACCCTATACAGTCATCCCCTTATGGTTATACTACTTTGAAAGGAAGCATGATTTTATAAACTCTTTTTGTTATTCAATTTTAAAGACATAGTAGTACTTCAAATTAGTGTACAAACTTATAAAACTTAACATGTCCTGCATATATGTAAATGTAAAGTACCAAGCATAGTAAGCTTCCCCAAAGAAAATGGCGAATCTCCGGATTTCCGGGTCCCAGTCGCGGGACTAAAAATTATGTTATTTTTTGTCTAAATCACTTTTAATATTAATATTGTTAAAGGTAAAATTAAGGTTCTAAGAATTTTTGCTACCCCTGTAACGCCATTTTCCATGGAGAAATCTACGGCGCTCGATATTCTACCCTATTTTAATTAATATTGTAATTGCTATTGCATGTTTCAGAAATTTTGCAGTTTCTAATGGAGTCTTAAATTTGCCAGTTGACGGAAGAAACGGATTCTGTGAACTTTGCTTCTACAAAAAAGCATTTGGATCATCAGTCAGTCATTCTTGCGTCGCGATAAATCCTGTTATTGAAACATTATCAAAACAACCACAATGTGGTAGCAATGAAAATGAAACGTCAGAAAATTCATCGAATATACTATTTTCTATTTGAAAATTTGGAGACTGTTGTCACGTCAATAAATTTGTTGAGTTACATGCTGCGACTAAGATTTAAATTTAAATTATTATATATATATGACACATTATTTCTTGGGCTATAAATACTTACGATATGTAACTGAAGCAGCTGCAATGATGAATCTAATAATTTTATACCTTGATTTCAAAGAAATGTTAAACAATAATAAAGAAAAATGATAATAAAATGGTACAATAATCCTCTTTACTATAAATTAATAGTTTAGTAGATTAATATATATTTATAATACACATGAACAGGGAGACACATTTAATTATATTCCACTTTATTATATACCTTAATTAATACATATTACAATTAATTTACATTACTTCATTATTTAGTCACTTCGAAGTATATGAAAGATAACTTTTTCAGCTGAAAATAAATCTCGAAACAATATTCATTAAAAAGGAATTTTATATTAAGGGTGTGTGTTATATATAAAAGATACAGGATTTATTATATTATGTTAAACTCATAATCTGAAAAAAAATTAAGATGTCAAGATACAATAGCATGCAATGTTTAGATAATCATTTTTTAAGGTATTATTAAAAAAAACACGAGTGTATGTGCTGAAAAAAAGTTTATTATACCTCCCAAAAATTATCGTATTATATATATATTTTTCTTCAACAGTATCAAGAGCATAAATCATGCTTTTAATTTAAGTAATAAATTATACCTCTAAAATAATTTATATAAAAAAAATTATATATTTAAATAAAAAAATCTTAATTTCTTAAATTTTTGATAGCAATACTTGAGCAATTGTTCTATTATACTTAATATTAAATTTAGTTTCATATAAATTAAGCTACGAATATCTTCAACAAAATTAATTAATAATTAACTCTCTACCGTTTTATAACATATTGATACTGTACCATCATTTTTAAAATCGTAAAAAGTTAAAAAAAAGGTTGATTTAACTTACCTCCTACGATGAGTGAAAATGGAAGTTGTGACATGGAGCGCTCTGAGAGTACCAGCCCAAATGACAAACCAGAAATTAATGAAAACGAAAGATTCCAATTAATACACAAGAAGTAAAACAAAAACAATTACTTTCCGCTTCATACATAGTTTACATTTAAGTCAAAATGAATTCTGATTGCTATTCATTATGTTGCACATTTTTAATATATGTATAGTTTGAAAAATTAATAATAGAACTATGAAGCAATATTATATTCTTTTTTCTTTAACATTAAATAAAATATAATGTAATAAAGAAGGAAAGTAATTTGTAACTAAAAATTTGTTTAGATATAATAATTAAGTATAAGCATTTTTTTAAATAACGTAAAATGATGCTTGAGGTACACATATTTTAAAATATAATTCCATAAATTATTCGAATTCATTTTTATCAAATGAATAATATTTAAACATTCCTATTGTTTTTATATGTCAACTTTTTCTTTCCCCTATCAGTAACTATTAATACACTAAAAATAAACTTTGATTCTTTTAACTTTTTACTAAGTTTACTAGTAATATGTAAATGATAAGTTTAATTTTCTATAAATTTGATAGTATTACTTTCCTTTAATGGGGAGAATCATTAAGCTGACAATGTAATTTAACAGGAATTTTGTAAAACATTGTACCATTCGTTTTCTGCTATCAAGAATCCCTAAATCTAAAGAAATGAATCTAACATTCCTACCTGTAGTCGCACAACAGAAGCTAGTAAGAAGCCTAGCAAAGCCTAGATTGCTGTTTTTTCTTCCATCACCTGCCTCTTTTTAGTTTCCTAATGATTTCCAAACGACAGTTTGGCTAAGAACGTCTTGGAACACCGAGAGCGTGTTATGTTAATGAAGTATCATAGTTTAGCTACCTATTTATACCTTTCCTGTTTAACAACCATAATAAATTTAACATAAAACCAACAAAACCTCGCTAATAAACCTAATAAAAATAATAAATGTAAGATTCTACAGAAGTAAATGAAAAATTAGGCTTATATTGAAGTATTTATAAAACTACACACAGAAGAATGTTATATAAATACTGATTCAAACGTAACATTTAAATGATTATTATTATAGAAATTAATAAAAAATGATGTAAAAAGATATGAAATCTTAATGATATATCTACTGTTAGTTAAATGTTACTTATTTGTTCTATTATATTTATAAAATTTGCATAAAAAATAAAAATTAGAAATAAATCTTAAACTCGATGACATTTACATTTAAAATGTTATGCTACCCATAACTATGAACTATAAAAAATATAAAAAATGTTATCCCTTTAATAATTGTGTAAAATTACTATACTGAATAAAATCCGAAAACATTCAATCGAAACAATGTACTGTAGAAAATAGTAGAGATAAACAATTCTGAATTGAATTGTAGTACACAGTACTTATATATGAAAAGTATGCGCATATATAGAACTCATACATATATATACACATACTTCTACTTATCAACATGATGAGAAACAATGAAATACTTACTATTAAATATCATGTTCATTAAATGGAATTAAGAAATGGTGATAATGCTTTTACTGCAAGTGATAATATAAAGATATGATAATTTTATTTTTTTATAATTTTCTACTTTTAGTTATTAAGAGAAAATTTGCATTGAATTTTAGTTTTACAAATACTGCATCATTGGGATATTTAGTATAAGTAATTTACAGCAGATAATTATATACAGAATATAAAATTCAATGTATCCCTTGATTCACAAATCCAAGTATGTTATATCATAAGAACTACATAGACATTGATTACAGATTTTCATATGTACAAATCATTTAATACTGTAAATACACATAAATATGAAGTCCTTAATTGTGCTTTCAATGACTACACGGTTGACAAAGAATACAAATATGTGTTCCTACATATAATATGTACTTTAAACTCTTTAATGATATTCGTATATACCGTTTAAATATACCTTTGTCTAACTATACTTCCCTATTCGATTAACTCATATATGTTCTTGTACTTCTGGCTTATCCTCTATTATGGACTTTGATTTTATAAATTAATAAGTGACGTGGAAAAGGTTCTGTGGTCATTTTTATTAACTAACTCTTAAAACATTACAATTTAAAGAATAATTAATTAATCTAAGTAACCTACGAAAATGCTAAATGATATTGATGATGTCTGATTACTTTTTTCTTATAAATTCATTATTCAATTTCATGGTCACATTTCATTTTCATGCATTTTCCATTTTATCCTGAGATTACTCTTCTTCTTGTGAAATAAAATTCTATATACCAAAGCCTAAATTCTTCTATCAATTATATTAATGTGCTTCACCAAATTAGAGAAACAATCGTGCTCTCCAACGTCTATTCTCTAATCCTACACATCTGTAGTCATTTTTGAAAATGTTACAAAAGTAAAGACAACAAATCATTATACTGCAGTGTTTGGATGGCACGGATGTATCCCTAGCCATAGTAACTGTATGATCAATAAACGCGTTTCTCATTTTCTAACGATGACGATAATTAAATATTAATAAGTATTTGTTTTTCTTTTTCGTTTGTTTTTTTCTCTCTGTTGGGTACTATATGTGCCACACAATGAGTTCTGGCACAATCTAGAAGATTGTGATTTAGTATTTTCACATAAACGGTTGAATGCGTAAGACATATGCACGATGATGCTAGATACCAAAAGAAATTACAAGCAAAAGCCTCCCTCACTGTGATCTAATAGATGACGCTTCTCTGTCCTGTATCCTGATTGTCCTGCCTGGTCTTGTCTCTAGCCTTATAGCCCTGCCTGCTCCAATACTAAACAGTACAGAAGTACTGGCGACTAGAAGACAAGTAGTAGGTTCACCTGAGGTTCAAAAGTCACAAATCTATTAGTTAAGATGACTGAAGATACTCAAACTGTAAGAATCTATAAATTTTCAGCTAAAAATCACGTACTATGTAACATAACTATATACTATCACCTTAAACGTACTTTTTTGGGGGAAACGTTCAATGCACGACTAAATATATAAAAGTCTACCAAACTTTTGAATTTACATTAAAAATGCAAGTTACAGTAAGAAGAAGAAAAAAGAAATGGGAATACAAAATAAATAAATAATAGTCTCACTTTATTATTTGGAAACCTTAATGTGCTCAAGATGATTATTATGAAACAATGAACTGATAACGTTTAAATCATCTATCCAATGCTTAAAGATGTGTCAGTCAAATATCTGAATACTTAGTACCAAATAGTTGGCAATATTTAAAACAAATTGTTCATTATTTTCAATAAATATAGAAACCAAAGGAAAATTGGAATGAAACAATTTTATTACATTTTTCTATTTATATATGCAAAAGTATTCAGACATTTTACTTCCTATCCTCCTTTTTATGCAATAAACAATCCTTTTTTATTTACATAAGTTATAGTACATTTAATAAAATGTGTTGGAGTAACATAAAAAATGTTAGTTATTAAAAACAAACAATGAGAAGAGATGTAACTAAAAGAATACATTAGAAAATTGTGACAAAATATATTCATACTTCAATCATTTACTGTCACTTGAAGTCATCTGATTTTTGTAAAAAAAAAACCTGAATTAAAGAAATTATCTTTACCTGATTACTAATATTTTTAAAAGCTAAAACTAAAACTAAAAGTTTAGCATATATTTATTTAAATGATTTTTGAGTTATATGCTTTGCATTTTCCATCAAATTTTGATGATAATATAATCTATAACATTCTAAATACCAGTATTTTCGAAAATAAATCCTATACATTTTCTACACTAATTGCGATATTAAACAGATTTAGTTACTTACTGAAAAAGTTCAGAAAGTTCAAAAATTATTTTTTGATTTTAATAGAGGAATAAATATCTATGATGGTGTCACCATTCACAGTTATCTTAACTGAAAGTTCAGAGTTCCAATACTTGATTAAAGTAGAAAATAAAAATAAATTCAACATTTTTTGCATGTAAACCAATAATAATAAACAAAAATAATATAAGATTAAACAAAATACAAAACATATTATATTTAAATAATTTTTCTTTATTATTATTGCCAATTACTTGGTACAACTCGGTTATGAATTATATACCATCCTCTCTATGAAACAGCATAATTATTATTAAATATTTTTATAGGGGCATATAATATACCTATATTTTATCTTTAACTGTAATTGAATAAAAATATATATTTGTATATTAAAATGCACTGTACACTTAATAATTGAATAGAATCTAATTAAATTCCTATCTGATTAAAATAACACTTATGATCGTTCTTTTCTATACAATTAGAAATAAAAATAATTTACCACAGACTCTGATTAAACCTTGAAATCCTTTGTTGCAATAAATTAATTTCACCTAACACATATAAAACGCCCTAAATATTACCAACTTAAACAAATTTTTAATTTTTAAACAGTAATGTAATTTTAATATAAATTAAAAATGTACATCATTTTAACATATCTTAAACAATATAGTAAAATAGAATTTGGACTTACCAAGTGAGGGAAGTAGCCACGGGTAATGCATTTTAATATCTTCTTCCACCGCCACCACCGCCGCCTCCCATGTTTCCACTGCCAAGAGAGCTACCACCATATCCACCCTGATTACCATATCCGCCACCACCACCACCACCACCTCCAGAATTGCCGCCACCCATAGGACCTGAAAAATATAAATTACAAGTTAGCAAAAGTAAAATAATATTACTGAAAGTTATAGTTATTTTGGATTAGTATTAATAAACTAATGAAAAGTATAACGATTTTGACAGATTAAAAAATAGAGTAAAAAATATCAAAATTAAATAGTGCAATATTATGATAGAATTCTTTAAAACATTATAATTAAAATTATAGAAAATATTAACATAATATGTGATAAAAATTAATTAAAAAAAATAAATACTTCTAATTATTTAAATAAAAAACAAAACACAATTTTTTCCATAGCAACAGTACTTTAACAAAATCTAATTATTCATACTTGCAGTATATTATGAACAAACTGAACGAAGTTAGACTAGTATGGCGAGTACAAGAAAATGTTTCTTCTTACACTCGAGTAGTAAGCAGTAGCATTAGCTTCTCTACAACCCCAGTCTGAAAAAAATTTTCTTTTGTACCCATCATGTTAGTCTAACTTCCCTTAAGAAAGAATAAAGAAAATGGACAAAGGCGCTCCTTCTCACTGCAACATCGCGCCTTGTGTCACAACTCCTAACTGATTTAAAAGTATTTATAATTACTTACATTTGTTTAAAGCTATCGAGATAATTGATATTATCAATATAAATAGGATTGATTTTATCATATTACACAATTTTTTAATCGTCCAATTATATCCCTATAAAACCCCATGATAGATAACGAAGTTTAGTAATAAAGTACTGTACAACCATATTAATATAAGCTGAACGCCCCTTGTGCAACTTACTAATGTTATCAAATTCAATAATACTGTGATAGGATATATCATAATAATCAGCATTAAGTTCTCAGAAATAATAAATAAAAATTTAGGAGTAGTTGCTCAAGGCACGTAAGAGACGCGTTGGCTTTTGAGAAGGACGGAAGCAACCTTGTCCACCGAAGGGTGGTAGCCATCTCGAGTCTCCAGACTGTCGGCCACTAGGACCCATATTAATACCATAGGGTGCAGGTCTTCCTCCAGAGTTGAAATTATTCCGAACAGGACCGCCGCCATAGCCTTGTTGATAACCTCCGCCGAAGTTGTCGTTACTCCAATTTCCACCACTATTATACCCTCCTTGACCACCTTGGCCTCCCCATCCACCTCCTTAATTGTGTTAAGAAAGATATGTTAAAAATTATGAATCAATGTAGGAGAGAACGTAGTACGACATATAAATATGCAATACTTAGTAAAATGAAAAGTTGATCTTTCTGCGAACCTTTACCTTGATTCTGATTTTCCCACGGGCCGTTACCACCCCAACCTCCTTGATTACCTCCACCATAACCACCTTGATTACCACCATTATTCCAATCTCCACCGCCGCCACTTCCTCGGCCACCCCAATTACCTCCACCTTGATTGCCACCCCGAGGTCCTCTTCCTACACTCTGTCCCCCTCTGCTACCGCCACCGCCGCTACCTCCACCGCCACCGGATGCAGAAGCCATTTCTGCTCTACTTAAAGCCTATAAGACAAAAGTAAATAATTTACTAACTTCTAAATCTCGGCTTTCTTGTAACAGCAGAACAAATAATACTTTACCTTCTTAACATCTACATGTTTACCGCGTATTTGGTGATTGCGTTGTAAACAAATTTTATCTACAGGGTCATAGTCATCAAACTCAACGAAACCGAAACCACGCTTTTTGCCGGTTTCCTTGTCGGTGACGATACTGATCGAGTTAATGCTACCATAACTCTGGAAGTATTGCCTAAGATCCTCTTCTTCGTGATCTTCTTTTAAACCACCCACAAACAATTTCTTAACTGTTGCACCTGCTTCTGGCCTACCAATTTCTTGCCTGGGAACAGCTCTTTTGGGTTCAACTACACGTCCATCTACCTTGTGTGGCCTATTAAAAAAGAACAAATAATGTACAATTTCATTGATATCTTAGAATTTAGTCAAATTACTTTTAATTAACTGATATGATTATACATAGTCAAGCCAAGTATGAACATTACATTGTCTCAACTTTTGTTTTTCAAAGAATTTATAAGTACATCTTTGTGTATGCTCACTATGTATATTATTAAATCAAATATGTTGTGTCCCATTGTTACTTTAAATTATGATCACAACTTTAGGAGGTATAAGTAATATACCTGTTATATGTTTGGTCACCTCTAATCAACTTAGAAGTAAACATTCAATTTATGTCTTAATATATATTACCTTGCATTTTGAGCATCATCTACCATGTGTGCCCGAGAATAAGTAATAAAACCAAATCCCCTGGACCTTTTTGTTTTCGGGTCTTTCATCACAACTACATCAACAATTTCGCCCCATTTTTCAAAGTGTTTTTTTAAAGAATCATCAGTTGTTCTATAATCTAAACCACCAATGAATAACTTTCTAACATGCTCTGGTTCGTTTTTTCCATCCTGAAACATAATTTTAATTGTTTACTACATTGTTTTATTAACGTTACAACCGCTGATTAATCATCATCATTGCAAATGTCATAATGACTTTATTTGAATTATTTTTGATCATGTTATCGTAGACGTTATTTGTACTAAGATAAGTATCAGAAATTCCGAAATGGCGTAGCGCGTCGGACAACGCCATGCCATAAACGACTGTTGCCAACATATATTTATATACTCCAATACAGTACGCCTATAAATTATTAAAGCAACACATTCTCATAAACCACATACATTTAAATAATGTTATCGTTTTTTGGCATCTATTGGTTTAATTCCTCGGAGTAAATAATGTATATACATATATCAAATGTAGATATAGTAATAAAGGTATTGATATCAAATGTACATTGATCAGTGGGAAGGTATACATATACGTATAGTGCACTATTAAATCATTAAAGAACAATAGAAATAAAAGGAGCTCCTACAAAATAGAAAATAATTGTAATAATACGTAAAATAAAGTGAAATATATATATACGTATAAATATAGTCAAATAAAAAATAAAGATTATATCCTTTAGAGTTATATTTCGTACAAATTATTCAAACGTAACATGATCATTTAAAAGGTATATATTAATTTGTTGCTTTACTTACGTCATGTTCCATCTTGACCATTTTGGACAATTTTAAGGAGTCACCACTAGACACAAAGAACCTCATCAAACGCGTACAAGAAATGGAGACCGCGCACGTAGTTCAATCGATTACTGTTCCTTTCAAACACTTATGTAAACCCCAAATGCGCAAACTACCTCGTGAAGCTTTGGGCATGCGCAGATTCCGCATTATTTTTATTAATTTACCGTTTTCTTAACTATTCCTTAAACTATGAACATTTAATATCACATACAAAAATACCATACATAAAATTGTATATCCCTTAATATGTTTTACTCGAGTATAACAAAAAAATTATAAAAGCACCTCCATTAAAGCTTGTAGACGAAGGTAGTACATTTCATGTTTAAATAAATGATTTTCTTATTTTAAAACACATAATACTTATATTACATAATTGAAATATTATTTATTTATACAAATAATATAAATTTATTTTTGTAGAATCCACTCTTTTTTCATATAATATAATTATAATAAATATAGTTCATGACAACGCCGGAAGTACCAATCGGTCTTCAATGAAACTATATTCGAATAATTCTGCGAACGCTTTGTTTCTTTTTCTATATAATATACTAAAATAAGTTGTAATCAAATGTTTTTGTGTTTTAGCTTGTTCTTTTCAAAATCTCATAAAATATTTATAACTACTTTACTTCAAAGAATAAATAATTGTTTCACATATTTGTTATGTATGATATAGTATCAGAGTAATTTAACATCTTTGGTGCATATTAGTTTAACTTTTCGAAATCATTAATGAAAAATTATTCATTACTTCACATTTTTAATTAAATGTTTTAAAAATGTTTGGTTGAAATGATTAAACGCGTTCACTAACATAATCAATTCATTGATTCATAATTAGTAATTAAGAAGCATTTACCTTTAACTAACATTCACTGTTTGAATTGTACATTTCCCAGTAGAATTGGGAATTGAATGATTGCTGTTATCTTTGATTTTTAATTTAATATCTTTTTTATTATAAATTTGTTTTTTTACGTTTTGATGTATCAAATTTGTTTGCACATTTGAATCTGTTTCTAGAGACGAATTTTCGTGATGAGCTATTTTATTTAAAGAACTTTTTGTATTAGAATATGTACAAGATACTTGCTTCACGAGGACAGGATATGATTTATCTGTACAATTTATACAATTTCGAAAAAAATAATTATGACTTGATACGTTTTGTGGATATAACTTTTCTTCAATTCGTTTGTTTATTACCACTGCTTCAGCAAGTGGTATTGGTTCGGTATATGTAAATGTCTTTTTCCTAGTATCAATCTTATCACCAGGTTTTTTAATACTAATTGGTCCATTGATAACAGAAACTGCATTACTTACTTCATTTGTAGTTCTTATAACAGGTGTAATATTACCCATTGAATCTAATCTGGAATTAATTTGATCACGAGAATTTACACCAACCATTGATATCTTAGTTGGAGTTTTCTGTATTGAATTAGAAGTAATTCTTTGTATCTTTTTTGGTTTCTGTTTAGATTTTGGTGATTTTATATTTGTTTCAGATATAGTATTTTGTGTGTTGTTAACATCTAAAGGTGGATTTTCTGAATGATGATGTCTAATATGTCGATGTAAATTATCTTTTCTTCTAAATACAGTTTGACAATATTTACAAGAAAATGGTTTTTCATCTGAAATAAATTTTATATATTATTATAACATATTATAATATCTTTTTACCACACCTACCGGAGTGTACAGTTAAATGTCGTTTTAATTCACTTTTGGACAAGAATACTCTATTACAATGTGCACACGAAAACGGACGATCTTTTCCATGCGTTTTTTTGTGACGAACTAAAAGAGATTTATCTTTAAAACTTTTATTGCATTGATCGCATGTATGTGGTCTTTCATCTGTTAATTCAAAACAAATTATTTAGTTATAAGTATATTATTACTATTCTAATTAGAATGAATTACATATTACCCTTTTATGTACTCATACTTACTTGTATGCGTTTTTAAATGCCGTTTCAAATTAGTTAACATCCTAAAAGTTTTTTCACATGTTTTACATGAATATGTAGCTGTACTATTATGCACCACTAGATGATTTTTTAAATCATCTCGTTTAGAATATTTTTTGTTACATTTTGTACATTCAAATTGTTTTTCTCCTAAAATTACATTTCATGTATTTACTTTTATTATTAATAACTTAAATATAAAATCTCAATAATACAAATTACATTCCTTTATAAAACTTACTACTGTGCGAGTACATATGTCTATTGAGTTTATTCTGCTGAGGAAATGCTTTCTCACAAAGATTACATTTATATGGTTTATACCCCCTGTGTACCCTTTCATGATATTCAAAGTGAGACCTTTTAATAAATGTTCTATCACAAAAAGTACACTGATAAGGTTTAACACCTGTTACACATGCATCATGATAACATTTTCCTTTTTTATTTCGAAAAATTTTGTTACAAATATTGCATTTGTATTTTTCTGGTGTTCCTGGTATTAACACAATATGACTATGATCCAAACACTTTGTGGATTTATTTTTCATTAACTTTTCATTCTTTAAAGACTCTGTTTTATTATCCTATAAAAAAAATCATAATATATAATTTGATAATTTAGGTATTATAAATGAATTACTAAAGTTACCAAGTCACAAATTTCTGCTTTCACCTCATTACATGATTGTATTACAGCACTGCTGTTTAAATGTGACTGAGTACTTGAAAGCACACTATCAGATTCTACTTTAGAAACATATAACTTATTTGAAACATCATCATCCTTAGTATCAGTTGTAGAAGACTGGTACGTTTCTCTTGTTTTATTAAATATATCTTCACAATATAATTCGTAATTATCAGTAAGTTCAAAATTATTAAGCTTGAACTTTGAATCTTTATTAATAACTAATTCTAAAGGTACTACTTCTTCATTACATATATTACTTTTCTCAGAATTCGAAATATCATTTAAGATTTCTTTTGTTGAAGGTGGATAATCTGAAAAAGAAATAAATTATATAATACCTAAAACCAAACAAATATAAATATTTAATGATAAATATAGAAAATTTACCATAATTTCCAATATTTTCTATACATTGCACATCGTTACAAACTCTGCAGCCTTGTTCTTCATATAATAAACACATACGACATTTAGTATGACCACAATTATCCTTCACAAGTCTTGAACATGATGTATTTAATATTCGTCTACAACTTGGACATTTTTCATTCATTATAAATATTTTCAGTTATAGATTTAATATGATAGTTTATCTATTATGGTAGGTTAAGTTCACTTAAATTTATTTACATGTAACATGTATGAGCATCTTTATTTTTATACTCATAATTGTTTTACTGATACTGATAATTGTTCAACTTATATTGTAGGAGAAACTAAATATATGAAATGTTTTCGGATTCAGTGGAACTTTTTTGAGTAGATAAGGTATCAGAAAATATTTGGCTCATGTTCAATTGTCCAATCATCCTCGAAATATTTGTAAAGTGTTGAATATTAAATACATTTCTTTGTAAATATATTTGCTTTAAACGACACTTTATTTTTGTTCTGTGCATTTATTTACCTAACTATAAATATAATTAATGTATTGAAGTCGGCTGTGATTATACATATACCCTACAATACGTATACAGCGCATTTTGTGTACAAGATAAGGAAGGATAGGTTATGGCCACTTTCAAATGTATACTTGATGTCACGAGAGTCCATAACTAAACGCGCAGGTTGGAAGATGGTGGGGGAACGCAGCGATGGTGGGGGAAAGCGATCCGCCAATAGCTTTCCACTTCCGCTGGAAGTATCGCCAATCAGAGCGACAATGCGCACAAAAGAACGAAAACTGGTCTTTTCGCAGTTATGGACTCTCGTGACATCAAGTATAAACACAAAACGAATAAATAAATGTGTCAAATAGAAACCTATGCATTCATAAAAAATTAGCTTTTTATTTAAAAAAAAAGCGGTATGAATTAAAATATAAGTTTACCAATTAAGGAATATTGTTCTCAGATGCTTTATACAATTATACATCATTATTTATTTGTAACAATCATTCAGTATTGTTAATTTCTTTGAAAACCTATTTCAGCTATTGTTCAAAAGCGCACTTTATTTATAATAAAGTGGTATTTAATTTATACGATGCGATTAGTTTTATTTGAAATTTAATTGTACAAAACAGCTTACACTTCGTTCATTTATAAGAGGACAAAAAAGGAAATACTGTCGGCCTGCGTCATTCGCCGATTATAATGCATGAATGATTATTTTGCTATTCTGATATTCTCACTTGAATATCAAACGCACCTTTGTATCGGTTGTTAAGTTTTATATTCAAACAATTATATTAAGTCAATATTCTGTACTTATATAATACAGAATTTATACGGATTCTTACCAAGAGTCTTTAACACGTTTAGTGCAACATACGGTTTTTATAAATATTTTTCAAAATATCTTAACCAATCTTTTAGATTCTGTTCAATAATTGTAACTTGTAACAAGTTATTATTGTATCTGTTAGGTTTTGAAAGCTAATTCTTAAAATGAAAGACGGCAGCAGATTGTTATCAGTTCTCTTAAGGGTTTCTGAGAAAGCAGCAAATATTGCAAGAGCTTGCAGGTATAATGAAGCTTTGTTTAAATTGTTAGTACAAGAAAAATCAGAGGAAGAGAAGAATCCTCGCTTCTTTCAAGATTTCAAAACCTTGGCTGATGTTCTTATACAAGAAACCATTAAACATGAGATTGGATTAGAGGTAAGCCATTAGAATATTTCATTCTATACACTTATGCTTTGTAGCTTGCTTTAATTTTAAATAAGAAAATATTTATAGAGAATTAGTTTTCAGAATTGGCCAAAGTAGTACAAGGAGAAGAAAGTAATACATTCAGCAATGCTATGGGTGAAACTATAGTGGTCAAAGTTTGTTCTACTACTGAAGAAACAACTCAGTTATTAGCCAAGGTGATGGGCAGTGACATTGAAACTGCAGAATTATTGGCTACAGAAGTTCATAAAGATGTCCAGTTGTCAGACATTCCAGTGGTAGCAGAATTACCACTTGATTTTGATATTAATGTTAATGATCTTGGTATATGGATTGATCCAATTGGTAAGAAACACAATAATATGATTCAAATGTCCTACAGTAAACTAGATAATTTGCATATAATAGATATATCATATTAATGCTATTATTTATGTTGAAACCATGTGTGGGAAATTTATATGGTAAATATTTTAATTTGTATACTTTTTATTCTTCCACAAATCTTTCCTCAGTTTCTTAAATTTTCTATTCTGTTATATATGTTATTATATGAAATTATTCATTTGTTTTATAGTTCAATAAAGCATGCCTGAGGAGCAATTTGTGGAACTTTTGTAGATTCAACTGCAGATTATATAAATGGAGGTGAAAATGTGGATGGTGTTACTGGTATACATATGAGTGGTTTACGCTGTGTCACTGTCTTAATTGGAGCATACTTGAAAGGCACAGGTGTACCAGTTGTGGGAGTAATTAATCAACCGTTTTACACGAACTTGGACTCACAGTAAATAATATAAAATATATGTACATAATATTCAGTAAGGTATTGATCCTTAAGTGTATGTCGTTATTTATTTAACAGGTGGAAAGGAAACTGCTATTGGGGATTTGTGGGAAATGATATTAGAAAATGTTCTATAGACCAAGAATCCATTGATAAAAAAATTATCGTTCTTAGTAGAGTGGAAGATGCTAATGTAAAATCGAAGCTATTAGACGCTGGATTTACGTTAGTAGAAGCGGCCGGGGCAGGTTATAAAATACTAAGCGTTGCTCTTGGACATGTTGATGCTTACATTTTATCCAAAGGCTCCACATATAAGTGGGACACTTGTGGTCCTCAAGCTCTTTTACGTTCTTTGAATGGAGGTATTATCGAATTTCAAAATTTTATCAAAGATCCTGATTCAGATTACGTGGATGTAAAATATTTGTCTACGTCTTTCAATTTTTCAAATACCAATGGCTTAATAGCATATAGGAATTTTGAAATTTTGTCAACTTTGAAATCTATTTTATGCAACTAAATGTTTTAAATATAGTAATTCTATGTATATAGAATATAGGTATAGGGTGTTTCTGATCTAATGGTACAGCCGGAAAGGGGATGAATCTACATGAACAAGTAAGTCGAAAATGTAGAGTCATATTTTTTCCAATCTCTTAAACTCCATCACAATTTAAAAAATGGGATGTTGTTTGTACAGTGTCTGATGTTGGTGAAGGGAAATAAAAATGAATGTACAATGACTACAGATATAAAAAGACTGAATATGCCTTTGTTCTCGAGAAATAATTTTGGAGGTCCCAGACATCTCCAGGTGAGCTAAAGTTTGCAATTGGTATGACAGAACCGACACAGTTGAATAATTGTTTGACAAACTTGTATTTTAAAAAGACCACTAGAATTCATTTTTTAAATTCGATTCTAGCGCCATCTATCCCAATATCGCGCAAACTAGTTGGCAAATAATTTCTGCGATATCTGGATAAATGGCGATAGTGTTTCCACCTATCGATCGGTAAATTGTCGAGTAGTTTGCGCTGTTTTCGAATAGATAGAGCTACGATCGAATTTAAGACCCTTTGGCGGGAAATTTAATTTATAATTAACGTGTGACGTTATCAAAGACTGTCAACTTGCGTTAGACTATTGCACTACAAAGTGTTTTACATTTTTATACTAGAATAGAGAAGGTGCTCGTTTACAAGGCACAAATTTAAGACTCCTTGAAAACAAAGGCATGTCGAAAACAAAAAGCTCATTCTTAGCACCTAACAGGAGATGGTGTCACGTTTATTTATGCTAGGGTACTTATTTAAAAATATAAATTCATTTGAAAACCAAGCTTTGTATGATAAAATGTCACTTTACATTTTCGGCTCAATTTTGCACATAGATTCACACCCTCTTTAGTTATGCTAGTAAGTCGGAAACATCCAATATTTTAAGATGATTATTCATTGAATGAGAGAACATACCTGTTTCGTGCAGCTAACAAGCGCTCACGTCAAAGGTTATACAGGTACTGAAGATCGCTGAGCACGCTGTTCGCTTCCACAACGCGCATGCGCAGACGAAGCATGCTTGAACCAATCAAAATTAATGTGCGCAGCACGAACGAAAACACGTAATACAGATATGATCTCTCGTTATGAATAATTTAAAAACAAATGCAATTTTATTTAATTATTGGACAGATAATTTTGTCGAAAACAAGTGATGTTTTCATTTCCACTTCAACTCGAGATATTGGTGTTTTTTAATAATTAGAAAAGGTAATAATGGTACTTAAAGCAAAATAATTGTGTAGATTATTTTGTTTATTGCTATTTGCTGTTTAAATGTGGCAGTGATAATATGATTGTGATATTATGAACACAAAATTGTAATAATGTAATAATTTAAAATAAACAGAAATGATCAAATGAATTTTATGTATGAACTTATTTACCCTTCGAAGTTTATTCTATGGCGGTATAATAAATAATAGGCTACTCTTTTTGCAAAAAAAAAAGGATAAACGTCACTTACTTGTTAGAAAAAAAAGCGCTGATTTTTCTTGCATTTGGGGACACTTTTTACTGGAAGTGATCTTTCCGACAGGATGATTGAGTGAAAGCTGGTAATTTGAAAATAAATTACTTTAAAAACAATCAAAATAGAAGTAAATATTTGTACAGTATTTTTTAATTCTTTTTACATTTTAGGAACAATCATTATTTAATAAATAAATATACATATTCATATTTATTAAACAATATTTCGTTCCATCATTCAGAAGCCAATAAATACAAAAATGATAAAATCACATTTATTTCTCAAATGGAAGCTTAATCCTTTAATTTTCAGAAGCTTTCATGAATGATATCGTTGTATTTTTGATTATAAATTGTTTTAAGTTCCCATACACCCAATTCTCACATATTCTTTCACTTTACACATTACCTTTTTTTTTTAATTAATTACACTTATTCGACGCGTAATCACATTCATTGTAATTTCAAAGGTCCTTCAGAGTTGCTCTTCTGAATGGGACTCGAGATAAGTAAACTGTCGTTGCAATGGTTGAGTGGATGGTCGGAAGGAATCATTCCGGAAACTGGCACTTCTTGCTGGTGCAGTATGGCTTCCGTTTGTTTTACGACGAACGCTGATATAGGTCGTGCATGTATTCATACGACGGAGAACAGAATGACCCGAACCATCCGGACCTGAAATATGATTAATATTAACTCCTTAAAACAATAACTTACCTTTTGTATCTATAGAAAATAAAAATTATGAATAAGAAATTTAGTACCATTGCATTTTCTTTGGTTAACATTACCCTTTTCCCTTATGATTAAATGTTATTTAATTTTATTTAGAGGAAATTTTAATTTTTGAATCAAGTTTGAATCAATGTGGTATATAAAAGAAAAATCCAATCCTAACGTAATGTATGTTATTAATAAATTTTGAAAGGGTTGATATAGTGCTATATGTTTTATATACATATGTACCTGTTAGGGGAATACCAATTGTACTAGCATTGTAATTGTTATTATATTGTGTATTTGTACGAAAAATCCGATGAGCTCCAGGTAAACGACCGATCGCAATTATAAAGCCACTACGAAACCTGGCGTTCATCCAGCAATAAATTACTGGATTGTAACAGGAGTGTGACATCGCCAACCAATGAAGGGCCATCCATACAAGAGGAAGTCCAGCCCAATTGCTTAGAGCTTCATTGTTATCCATTATTAACTGAAAGTAAAGACGATTGAATTCTGATGAATTAACATGATTTTTCAAATAAAAATAAAAGAAGCAAACATTTGAATATTATAAATATTGAATCAGTGAATTAATGAATGGAATCAGTAATTAATGAAAGATTTGTTAAAAATTTCTAATTACTTTTGCTACTGAATTTTTAAGTAGAACTTTAGTTAGATACAATTTCATCCTTGTTCTTAACAGCATTATAGAAAATTTGAGGGTGTCGTTTCTCCTTCAAAGACATCAACGTGTAATTTTCTCTTTGACCTACTATTTACTGTTGTTCTCCTTGTGCTCTTCATAAATAGTACAAAATTAAAGATAAATAGAGAATTAGAATAAGAAAATGACACGACTGGTAATAGAAGGGGTAGAAATTTTGATGACGAAAATTATCGTAAAATTGGTTTTCCTGATTGGTAAATTAGATCTAATTCATTGGATTGTCATATCTATTTCGAGAATACAAATTGAAATATTTATTTTACGAAATGGGCCACTTACCATCAATATGTTGAATGGGAGCCAACAGATAGTAAATACTATCACGACAGTCACCATCATCTTCACCATCTGAAACAAACAAAATATCAACAGGTTAGAATGAAATTTGATCTATAATTAATTATACGTTCATTGGTTTCAGTGATAGATAATTAAAATCAAGATGTCGAATATTAATTATTTATGATATTGTAACTACTTAAGTATCGCTTATGATAAGTTTATTTTACGTAACAATTAAATTTCAGAATAATATCATTGTAGTATAATTTCCAATTAATTTTTCAATTTTTATCTTAGTATTTTCATGATCATATTTCTTGTCTACGTAATAGCCACTGAAAATATGAGGCTGAAAAAAAAATACGAGAGAAACGTGCAACTGACCGAAATATGGCCAGCACGTAAGTTAAAATGGCAATTCTATATTTCTTTTTTTTTTTATAAGGGAAAACTCATATGTAGGTTATTATGGTTAATATTTTGCGGTCTGGTTGCTGCGAGCTTATTTCACTATATGCATCCTACATTATTGTGGATAACAACATCGTTCCCACGAGGAAATTTATAACTACATATTAAGGTTTAATATAGTCGTGTTTGTAAATGAACTTAATTATTTTGGAGACTAAAAACAAATAAGATCGTTCTCTTTCTTAATTGCTTAATTGTTACACTTTATTCCATCTTTAATACTTCAAAGCTTTAATTGTCAAAACATAATAGCTAGACTTTAACTCAAGAAGTATTTCGTTTTTCTCTGGTCCAATTTACCGAGTTCATATTGTCTTCATTTCTTATATCCACTCTTTTTCGTTGTCTAAGGATTAATTTTGATAGAAACAAACGTTCCCGCTAATGCAATCCATTCTGTAAAAATCAACTGTAATAAATTTCATGGCTTTAATCTCACTTCTCATCACGATTATAAATACAAACTTTAGAACTGCTCTTAGTCATAAAAGAAATAATCGATCCTTATGAGAAGGTGATTTTTTAACCCCTTGGACATCGGGTCACTGAGAGAGAAATAAATTTAATTTAATTTCAGACCCTCCTTCATTCTCATTTCATAAATTCCAAATTATCCCCGTTTTTTAAATACCTATATAAAAGTCTTTCATTAAAATATTTGTCTTGTACTTCACATTATTTTCAAAGAAAATATTAATTATGAGAATTTAAAGCAATTAGTGAACTATTCTTCGCAATGATTCCCTTGAACCATTCGAGTATCAAGGATAAAGATGATGTTATGACATATCGTTTTTCAATCATTTAATAATCATTTACTGAACCGATCCATGGAAAACCTTAAAAGGATTCTAATTGCTCGACTCATTCAGATCTTTCGAAACATTAACTTAATAGGTACTAGCGTTATTAAGTTAATTGCCGTGAAAATGACTTTGAAAACTGATCAGTTCAGTATTGATACTTAAGCATCATCTACTTTTTATTTAATTTGAATTGCAATATCTTCTTTGATGATGTATTCATTTATTCTTCTTCTCTTTTTTTTTATTCTATACTACCTTTTATTGCTGCTATATTAAAAAACTTTAATATATCATACTAAAAGTACAATCAATGTATGAAGTTTTCTTTTGATGCAATATCAACACTACATGCTTTTCCCTTAGTTCCTCCTATATATTGTAATTTCCATATTTGTAGATATCGTTGCTGTCATAGGTGAATATCGATTTCCAGACGTATGTAGTTCCTTAACAAAGGGATGTTATACAGGGTGCCCCATAAAATTGGGCTAAGTTACACCTTTAAAATGATAGAAAATAAAAGAAATATTATTTAAAAAAGCTATGCATTAGCAGCATAATGTAGAAAAGTGTGATAAACATGTATCTCTTTCTGGCAAACTACCTTGTAGATAACTCTAGAAGGTGATCTGTAATCGTACGTTAACCAGAATTTTCTTTTACGACAGTTTTACGAGCTCGTTGAAAACTTTATCTTAAAACCTTTCACTTGTTTATCATCCTACCTCCGATACACGGTGGCATATTAAAAAATTTTATACGTTCCAATGGTGTTTTATGCTGCACGTCTTTTTTATGGTACTCCATGTCATAAGTTCCATGTCCATCCGATCATTCGATTTCCTCGTAAACTTAGAAAAATTTGATTCCATTTCCCGTTTAATCGATGGGAAAACAAAGTGTTGTATAAAATGTGCTTTAATCCATCCTCTATTTATTTATATTGAATAATGAGCTGGTAACAAGAAAAAATAGAATGAACAAAGTTAATGGAAATTTAATGACCTCAGATAAGATTGAATTAATTAAATTAAGTAATTGGAGTTATCGTGGCTTTTAAAATTAAATCTTCGATATAAAAAAAAAAAAAAGAAAAGGCACAGAATTAAATTGCAATTAATAATCTAATATTCAAGTCTATATTTCTGTTGTCAATTCTTAATTTTTGACGACGTACATATACGTGGACGTAAAATATTGACGAAATGAACACCTCTTCAGAAACTTGGAAAGTTACAAAGCTACGAAATTGGAATAGTTCGTGTTCTATAATATCAGGAATATAATCTGAGATAGGGTGAAGAAATTTGTTGAGTAAAGATATTGGAAAATTCACGTGTACGTGTCCTGAAAGGAATTATAGGCCACCCTTTCAACAAGAACTGAGAGAAGTCGTTCCATCGGACAGGCGATAATTTTAATTGATATATTGTCTTGTTTATATCACGAAAACACGCACAGCGTTTATTAGCGAGATTCCTTTTTATAAATTTTCATCGAACATAAATTGACGTAATGGTTATAAGAATTGACATAAGATTAATGGAATACCAATATCCATCGCAGTCGTCTTCGATTAGTTATAATATTTTCAGGTGATATTTTGCAGGTATACTGCACTTGTTATTGTTATTATGAATTCGCAAACTGAATCACTCTAATAATCAATGATACAGAGCAAATACAACACATTCATTTTAACTTAATTGCTTATGCTTATTAACAGAGATAACATCTCCTTCTTATTTATTCCGGGTCGTCAGTTTGTTGCAGTTTTACGTGTGCCACGTATTTGGACGCTAAGGTAGCATCGCTATTGGTAAGCTAAAAAA